GCTGCTGCTGTTGTTGTTGTTGTGGCTTGCACCGTGAGGCTTCAGGCCGCAGGTGACGCAATTGTTAACTGCTAGACCAGGCTACTGCCTCAGTTAATGCTGAGAATTTCAGTATCCGCAACCTTGGCAGAGCTCCACGTGCTGCACTTTGCAGTGCCTGCAGCCTCTTCAGGTTCCCAGATGTTGCAAATGACAGCGCCAACAGCTGCTAATGCAATTTGCCATTTTGTCCTGCAAAGAATGGCATTAGTTCCAACATGACCTTATCAGATTTCCGATAAATCTTCAACTCTTGCCACATTTGTGGGGGAAGGGTGCGAGTGGCTGACAGCTAGAGCTGTAAGCCTTCATCCTCAAGGGTGTGGAAATGGGCGTTCTTTGCTCCAGTCTCACCCTCCCGGTTTCTACTGTAGTGGTTTTGGCCTTTCCGCAAGCCACGCTGGCCACTTAAGATTGATGCGGTCCATGCTGATGAGGATCAAAGAAGCAGACGGCAGAATGTAGCGAGCAGGGATGAGGCGTAATCATTTATCATTTTATCATATTTGTGGCACTCTATGAAAAAGGACGGGTTTCGCAGGGCAGGGTTTGAACAAGTGCCATAGATGTGCCTGAACCCAGTGTTTTGACTTTTTGAACATTGGGGATCTGTTAAATGCTGCAAGTCATGAAATTGCTCATCCCCAGATGCTCATTTTTCGTGATTCTTACCTGATTTCTTTGATACCCCGAGAGTCTCTAGTACTCTTGGCAGGCACGGCTTGACATGAGTGTGATATAGATATAGCGTGATGAACATGACTCGATGGCATTTGCACGGCATTGGCTCAAGCACTGCAGAGACTAGAGGCTGCAGTTTCCATCAGTGTTGCGGATGTTTGGCCCTCCCTCACCGCTATCAAAAAGCAGGCTTAGAGGGTCGCTTCAGAGCCGAAGGCTCTCACCGCGAGGATCACCACGACATCGATCACCAGCTGGAGAGGGCAAAGTGTCTTTTGGCCTACCAAACGAGGTCGTTTCGCCCCGGTTTCGTTCCAAACCAGCACCAATCAAGCTGGAGGAGGAGGCCTTTCCACCAGAAAGCTCCAGCCCGAAACGAGCCACAAGCCAGACGCCACCCGCAAAAGAATGGAATCCAGAAACAGAAGCAAGAGTACAGGTGTTGTGTGCCTCCCCTGCTAGTGGAGCAGCCACGCCAAGCTTTGCAGTGCTTCCGCCCCACCTGCCGGCAACCCAGTGGCAGAGGTCTTTGCTTCGGAGGGCCAGATCACAGTCCCCCAAGTATTCATAGATTTCAGAATGATTCTGGAGTCTAAGCTTAAATGAAGGCATCGCTCAGTCCAAAAGCTTTTTGGTCACGTCTTAAAAGGGAAAGTTCCAGTTTGGGAAAGATGTATCTTTTAATTTTGGGGCACTGGAACATGTTTACCAAGGCCAGATGGTGTTTACCGAAGTATTTCTGTGGCATCGACAGTTCAAAGCTCAGAGTCCGTCATTGTGAAAGAGCCAGGACTTGGCGTCCAGAAAGCACGGGCGCTTGAGTTTTCTTTTGCAGAGGCGCATACTGGCTACTCGGCGCATACTGGCTACTCAGCAGCCCACAGCGTTTGGCTGAGATTGACCTTGCATACTTATCAGAAGTGACTGCTATAGGCTTCGAATTTCTGAGTGCCAGTCCTCCACGCATGCAGCCGAAGCACCTGGAGGCGATGACAGCTCGCTTGTTTCCGCAGCGCATGCAGCCGACGCCTGAGATTGCGCATATATCAGTCCGCTTCATTATTCCTGAATTCTAAAAAGTTATTGCAGAAGGGTTATTTTGTTACAAAACAAGTAACATCAAACTTAGAAAATGTAAGCCTGCCCGATCACTGCAGATATCGGCAGATGTTCGAGTCAACAGTAGCGACTGTTCTGCTAGGCGCTTGCAGCGGCTGCAGAGGCGATGCGCCAGGAAGCGGCGAGCTCCCAAGCAAGAGTCCTTAGGCGTTCCAATTGCTGCCAGCATCTGGTTGAGGCAGCCAGAGTAAACACGGGAACCTCGCAACTCCTGCCATCATCCTTTTTTTCCACCCGGTTTTGGCGCTCAATTTTGCCAACGGCCGGTTTTGAATGGTCAAGCTCGTCATTTCATACTTGTGGCACTCGATCCACGACTTGCCTTCAGTTTGGACTTGGAGGCTAAGTGCGGTTTAGGCTGTTTTCCTGAGACATCATTTGCCCTGATTAGACCATGAGCGTAGTGGCTGTGCCCCAGCAAGCATCAGCAGCTGAAACTTCGTATCAACAGCCAGTGCCCAGGCCAAGGCATCCACCGCTCGGCAACAACTCGAGGATCAGTCTAGGTCCGTGCTGGGAGCCGTAGAGCAGCAGAGCAGTTCCAAGAAGTTCTGTGGTGCAGGCGGTTGGAGGCCCAGCTTGCGGCCACCAGCCAGTGAGTCCTGCATGTTTGTCGATGCACTGGCTCTTGCTCACCTGTGTCATCCCACGTTCCGAGTTTGGCATGGTGCTTGGAAGCCAGGATCCTCCAGCCACTTCTGTCGCCGCACGTTCAGCAAGTAATACATACGTGCTTGGCCCAAGACTGGTTGCTGCTAGCTCGTGATTAAGCGTGATACCGTAGTGCTCTCAGGAATCAACCTTCGAAACACTTTGCAGTGCCACGCATCAATCCCCCCGCGCAGGCGCTGCAAACTATACATCAATCAGCAGTCCTTGCAGCTTTGACTTTCTTTGGTTTCTTTCAAGACTAGCGCTGATAAAGGCGTTGTGGCTGCCAAAAAGACAATGCCAGGTGCTGCGGGCAGCGCACGGGTATGCAGCTCCTAAAGCATCCGTGAGGCCAGTGCTCGAGCTGCAGCGCCAATTTTCCATCTTAGCTATGTGAACCCCAGGATGGTTCACAGAGTCAGCGTTCCGCCGCGGGCCGCAACCCCAGCTCAACCACGCAGGCCTTTCGATTCTTTCCATGTACTGTCTTCAGTCTTCAGGTGGTCAACCAGGCACGCAGTGCACGGGCATCCATGGGAGTCTGAAGCACTTGAGAAGAGACGCCGTAGACGGATGGTGCAGCTTTATACTCAACATATCTCAATGTGATGCGGACTGGCGCAGGTGGTCTCGCCAAAGCACGTGATCTCATTGCCAGAAGCAGAGCAGGAGATGTGTTTGGACATACGATATTGTATGAAATATGTGGAAGCCTTGGTCTTTATAGCCTAGCAGGCGAACTGTGGGCCGCAGGAAGATGTCGACATGACCCGAGACCAGCCGGCTGCACAGCGTGTAGTCCCAGCAGAGGTCTTGTTTTCACGTTTGTTCGAAGCCTGAGATGCCTAGGCAGATGACCTCGACATCTTCCTCTGTCGGTTGAGTACCTACCGCGCTTTTCCTGTCAATGCATAGGCTGAGTTGCATTGCCGACATGCTGCAGCAAGCAAGGCGTGCAGACCTCCCCAGCCCAGCCGACCCGTGAAGCGCTTGCGGAGCAGGCTCTGCATTTTGATCATTTTGGTGCCACTTATCCATGCTATGAGGTATTTGCGCACCAATTCCCATGTTTGAGCATGCCCCCAGAACCCACTTCTACACTTGAAGCACGTGGTCTGCGCAGTCAAACGTCTTCTTTTTGGGGATTTGCTTTGGGGGTTCATGTAGGGGATTCATGTTGAGTCTTACGCAAAAAGGGTTCGGAAGGCTGCTCGGGGCTTGAGTTCCGAGAGCGCCTCCCAATTGAATTCCTGCATTCTGGTAGTGATCCTATACTTATACGTATACTTGATCATCGATTTATTTAGGCACATCCGATATCACCTAGGAATCTGGATGGCTTAGTTTAGTTGAATGCATGTTGAGCTCGGCAGGTGAATATAAGGCTTTGCGGTTACCAGTGGGGGGGGGTACCATGTATAAACTTGTACAGTGCGTATATACTATATACTATATACATACATATACGCACGCGCACGCTTATGGTACCTCCCCCCCTGAACCTCAAATTCGGCCAGGTCACGGGCTTCTTGAAGATATTTTTAGGGGTCAGTCAGTGGACGTGCTTTCAGAGCGCCACGCGATGCAAAACCAAAAACAAATGCCTAGGTCCCCAAATTTCCAGAGTTCTGCACTTCTAGGATTTCCAGAGCTTGTTTTTCTAGACTCTAGATTTCCTGGGAAGAGTATGGAACACAAGCACCTAAAAATCTGAAAATCTAGAACTCCCGAATCTGGAAATCTTGAAGTCTCAAAATCTGGAAACGTTGAATGTATGAGGAGGTCAATGTTAAAAATGAAGCAGAAATATTGCATTTGGTTTGCTAGCTCCATCCTTACTAGTACTATCAAGCTAAATTCTCCGCGTAATGCGGGCCACATACTTGCTACAGGAACTAGGGACTAAGATTACAAAGCCCCAACATTGTTAGCTTACAACCCAAACAGGCAAGCAGGCCCAGGTCCAAATCCAATTCTCTCCTTAAGTCCAATTTGCAAGTCGAGGTCCAAGCTGCTGAATGGAGTTAAAGAGCGAATCGAACAAGCACTCTAACTAGTTGGAGCTGATTAATTTGCTTGGACCTGAACCCAAGTATTCGTTTGATTGTCCTAATTCATCCAATCAAGTGGTTTGCCTTAGTTCAATGAATTCGATATTCAGTCAAATGAAGATTCGAAGGTTTCAGTTGGGCGGCCGCTTCAAGTCGACAAAGACCATGCGAAGCCCAAACCTAAACCCCTTACAGTACAGGTAACCTTGGGAATTTTCTCTACAAATTTGCTTTGTAAATTACTCATTGACCTCGACATCAAAGATCCTGAAATACTCATGGTAGAACCCCAAAACAAAGCAATTACAGCCCTGACTTGGTTCTACATAGTCCATGACTCCATTTGGGTGACGCCCTAGGCGATGTATAGCTTTTATGCAGCCCCTGTAGACACGTTATGCCGCCCGCGCGAATTTCCTATTTAGCCTGTCGTCATATACGCTAATGGCTGTGTAGCCTATGAAGGAAGGATCACCATAAACTTTTTCCATACATCAGCCACCATCCAAACACAATCCCTGAGACAAGCCTTTTCAATCCCAAAACAACGGCAGATGGCCCTGAGATGGGTTCAATAGCAACACACATGCCTCGTGTTGTGATTTTTTAAACACCATGAGGAAGACTTGTGGGGAGGCTTTGCTAGCTGTCCCCATTGGCAGTTTCTAGCAGGAACTTGATCACCAAAACAAGCCATCATAAAGATTTTAAACATGCGAGCAGGGAAGCCAAATTCCTTTTGAACCTGATATGTCCAGTCAATGTCCTCAATGGGTACTCCTAATGAGCATCTCCAATGAAGACCCAAGTGAGAATCCCTAGAGCCAAAACCCCAACTCCCAAGCAGAATCTGAAACGGGATATTACACTTATGCAATGCCAGACTGCGCAGTGGTCGTTTTTAGCCGTCCGTCTCAAAAGTGTGCGTAGGCCAATAATTTTTTTGGTAGTTGTTTTTTGCTGGTGGTGCCCCTGCGGATTTTCCCAGGAACTTGTTCTGGGGAACCTCTACTTGGGATCCGATCCATTCGATTGGGGCTTTTAGTAAAAAGCTTGGTTTCCAAGTCCTGACGCAGGGTTTTGCGAGGAGACTTGCTCAGAGTTCTTCTTCTCTAATGAAACTTATTGACCGCGTGTTGTTGATTCGTGGACCAGATTTCAGTCGAAGTTCTCATTAAACGTTGTATTCTCAATAGGGATTGGTCCCTATGACCACTCTTAGTAAGAGTTGGCATTTGTCAGAATTCTTTAGGGAAATTATGTAGGGATTCTTATGAGCAAGGAGCCTCATGGAGGCTTCTTGCTCATCAGGGTCACATTATATATTCGTGTGGGGATAGTTGCCAGGGATGAAGCTTATGATGGTTCCGTGCAAGGTGTTTTATCAAGTCTCATTTTGGGAGCTTCCGTTCCCTTGTTATGGGTTCTTATTGAGAGTCGAGTCCGTGAAGCTTTCGGCACTGTATTACGCGCGCACAATCTCCGTGCTGCTCCCTGTGGTCATGCATTGTATGGGACATCCAAGCTAGTGAGTTATGCGCTGTAAGGTCATTTCTTCAACTTGTGTGGTGACTGTATGACTACATACAAGACAATTTGAGGTGCATATGCTTGTCTACATAAAGCCTCCATCTCTCAGGCATAGTCAAATTGCATTGGGCCCAGTATTTGTAACAACGTGCAAGGGTGGGTTTCTGTGGGGCGCGGCAGCATATATGTATATATATATATATACATATACACGCATGCACATATGGACATACAGATAGTATAGATAGCGGCGTATTAAACACTATAAGGGTGGGTCGAGGGGGGGGGGGTGGAAGGGTGTTGAAGATTGATATGGAGGAATTCCTTGGTTGTTTCAAGCGTGTCTGATGAGGTTACATTCAGCCACAATGGTTATAGTAGGGAGATGAGTAGATGCTCCGAGCACATGCTTTGACAGCTCACGTGCGGCCAGGCATGAGGATTAACATGCCCTTGGCTTCCTGCACAAGAAGCAAGCCCAAAGATGTGCGTGAACGGCCAAAAATGAAAAGGATTGCGGTCAAAACACGAAGTCATAGCAGCTACCGGAAGCCATGTCCTTGTGCAACTGGTCCCCTTCGCAAGCTTTGGTATACTGATTCCTAAGCAAACCTGGGCCCACAGGAAGTCCAGGATCTGGCGCGCAAGCAGATTCAGGAGGCCTTGGTTTTCAAGAAAGAGCACATGTTGAGGCCTTGCCCTGTGCATTCCATTGAAGATTCATCCGCAGGCGACTGACATCGCATCTCGAGATGTTCAAGGCACACCGAGCCTGAAGGAAGTGAAGGAGGCCGAGACCCCATTCGAACATGGGCGAACGGCCCAAAAAATGACCTCACTCAGGGCCGAGATCTTCTTCGGCAGGCTGAAGTCGAGAGCTGACATGGCCGTGACGTGGTGAGTCGTGGTGACATGTGCGCAGGCTATTGCAAAGGGTAGGGCCGCTGGGCTGCCCGAGGACATGCATTGAGACATGGAGTATCCATTGCCTTTCGGCGAGCTCGCAGGAGGAGTTGGCACGGTCCGAGCAGCACCGACGTCGACTGCACAATTTGTACCAGGAACCGCTCGGGATTCTGTGATACACCTCTTTGACCATTCAATGGCCAGGACCTGAAGGGACAACTGCGGGTCTACTGCCGCGTTGAAGACTTGGTGGTTCGCAGTTGAGAGTTGCAGGTTACAATCTCGCCAGCGTATGTTTACTTGGGAGTGGTTGCCTTGAGGTGAGGCCGCTGAATGCAAAAGAGAAAAGGATCGGTGACAAGGAAGCAATGCGCGTAGTTGATGGCACTACGCTCGAGGCATCTCATGCGCTGTCGTCAATTACGAGAAATGCCTTTGCAACAGCACGCTCACACGCACGCGCTCTCTCTCTCTCTCCCCCCACCCCTCTGAAGCAGGTGCGAAGCACTGGTGACATTTTCGAGTTTGACGGAATTTTTGGCAGTTCCGAATCGCAGGCAGGGTCTGAAGCATCCAAAACCTCACCAAGAAAGGGGCCAAGTTCCCACAATCTGGGAGGCTGATGTATTTGAGGATTGCTCTGATTTGGCCCAGTCCGCCATGGACGGCCAAAGTGTTGGAGTCTGAGGATGCTTGCATGTCCAGCGACACGTGTGCCACGCTGTTTACCGCTTTATTCTTCAGGGACATATACAGACATAACGTTGGGGGAGCAGTGACCGCTCAGGTGACGGTGTTCTGCTATGGCATCACTGGCGCTGGAAAGACCTACACTATGCAGCGGGCTTAGAAGCAGAGCGACACGCTGGACACATGTACATGCTTCTACAGTAGCAGCACGCGTGCTACCAAGTGGGGAAGATGTGCCCGGCTCCGTTCGATGCTAAAGCGTGAGACCACTGAGACCACTACACCCTGGTCGCCCCAGACAGCTGCAGTGGCCTTTTCCAAAGGCCCCGAACCGAACCAACATCATGAGTCAATGAGCATCAACCAGCCACCTCCACTAGCAGCAGCACTGGCTTCCAAGACCCTCAAACCAATCGCTCATCATGTGCATCAGCTGTACTGGCTCTTTCCCAAGTTGTGGTGCTGAAGCAGCTTTTGCCGGCACGCAGTGGCTGCTCAGCCTTGAACTGAAACCCCAGCACTCCGTTCGCATGTAACTGCTCGGAAATCGAAATCCGATTTTACAAACTTTGCCCCAAACCGCAAAGCGATGGAACTTTGCGCCTGCCGGGCCTTGGCCTTGCCGCAGAACAGGATGCAGCTAATGTGGCGGTCTGTTTAGTATGGGCACTCCCAGCAGGCGCTTTCCAAGAAGATGGATTTAGGAGACAGAGTCAGGGTGAGCGGGTAGGTGGGGGCATCTTTGCATGTGCTAAAGTGTGCTGCAGTCCACACTGATTGAGTCGGCCTGTGCCATTTGTCTTTGCCAAAGCTCTTTGGGTTTCCAAAAGTGTGGAATGCTGCGGGCGTGCCCATGCTTGCGGCGTTGCAGCTTTGTTAGGATGGTCTGGCCGAGTCAGGAAGCTGGCAGCTGGTGCATGTTCCGTCGGGTGGGACGGCTCCGATCGAGGAACGTTTTCACGTTTCTGGCCGGTGACCGGGTGCAGTTCATGCTGAAATTCTTCTCAGTCACTGCTTCAACATGCTCCAACTCAGGGATTGAGAGTTGTCGGAAGTAACGTTCTGAGCTTCGAGTGGAGTAATGACCATGTGGAACCTGTTGCCGCGCACTTGCCGAGCAATCCACGCTTTTTGCATTAACCCTTTAAGACTCCACCATCGGCATGCGGTGGCTGTACTGTAGGGTTGAATTCGTGCTGAATTGCAGAAGGGTTGGAAGCAGTGCGTGTGCAAGCATGATGGAGGTATGGAACTCCAGAAGAGGATGGGCTAGCTCAAAGGATGTTTGGCGAGTTATTTGCGCAGGCAGGGCTGCCACACCTAAATTCCGCGAAGACGTCCTTTGGCCTTTGGCAGGTGGACACAATACCTCAGGCAGACGATTCAATTTCTGAGCATTCTGCACTGCCTAGGCAATGCATGGCAGATAAGCAACCCATGGGCGCAAGGCAAACGTTACGATCATGGGATCCATGTGGGATCCTCATGATGCCTTGTGAGTCCCCGTCATTTTTACGTCTCTTGCAGATTCCAGCTATCGCCCGCTGACGCATTCTGCCTGTGCACAAGGATGGAATTGTACAACAACTATCTCGTGGATCTTCTGCGACCAATAGACTGGCAGGGCCGGACTCTCAGAGTTGGAAGCACATAACGTCATAGCGTCATGGCTTTCAGCCATGTAGCCTAATTTGGCGTGCAGATCTGCTCAGGCCGGCAGAACCCACCCCTGAGCCTGAAGCTGGATAAGTCAGGCACGGTGCAGGCAAGCAAAGCTGCTCGGAGTCGCTCTGCTGATTTCGCAGTAGAGACTTTCAACACAGTGTTAGCGATGTTGGAGCTGGAGTTCAAGGCGAAAGTTAGTCTTCATCTCAGCGTGTGGCTCAAGACTCTGAGGGGAGACTTGGGAAAAGCTTGCCAGCTGTGTGAGGTGGGCGGAAGGTGTTCGTTTTGAGTAAGATTATGCAACATGACTCAACTTTTGATAGGCATCAGCTGGCCAAGGGGGATGAGGCTCTACAACTCTGGCAGCCTCTTGACAGTAGCTTGGCCGGACCCATGAGGACGGACGCAAGCGACCTGCTGAAAGTGGCTGCTGCAGTGGGCGTCACTGCCGGGACCCCACAACCCCAAGTGCTGGCAATTATCTGACGGCATGAGGTTTGATTGATGGGATGATGTGAAGTGAATAGGATGATATGATGTGTTTTTTTGTTGAACGGTTGTCGTGAGGTATCCGATGGGATGTGAGGTTCATGGCATTGGTTTTAGTCAGGTTAGCTCTGGCGTGAGGGTTTTCGCATGATGTTCGTGTGTCACGGGGTTGTGGCACAAGATGAACTAAGTAGCAACAGAAAAAGCATGGGGCGCGGCTGGCGGGAGCTACCCTTCATGTTTTCTTCCTTTTAAGTCTGAATACAAACAGTGCTCAAGCATTGAGCCAAACTATTGGTGCTTAAGCAATGTTTCTGAGTTCTACCTTCCGTGAACGACCCATATAAAAGACTTGAGTAACGTACAGATGTTGCGTCCTCCGCAAATTCATCAATGACTACTATGGAATCTTTGTGCTTATTCATCTTCTGGAATTCTATTACCTTGTGTTGAGTACCTATGATTTTCTAGAAAGCTGTTGCGTTGTATAGTTGAAGTATGTCGATTCCTTTTCTGAATGAACTTTCATCACATTTTTCACGCATTTCTCGCTGCATTCCATGTATATCATCAACATCCACATTGTTGTAGGCTCTCTCAAGGCTACCAGCTTCAATATTGGATTCTGTATCAAAACGGTTTTGCCGCCAACATTCTCGTTGGTAGTGATGGCATCAGTTTCTACATACAGTTTTTGAACTTATACTTGGCTATATCAATGGGTTCCACGGTTGGTATATCCATGGTTAATGTTTGAGCAAAACAAATCACGCGCAAAGCGATACAACAATATACGGACAGATAAATGCCCTCCGTAAGGGCCTTGTATTAGTACAGCGCGCCCCATCGTTGCAAGTGGAGAAAAGCCCGTGCCTTGCGGCAGATGGCGCGAGCGAGAAGTACCGCCTCGAACCTGCAAAAGTTAGTGCAGCAGTTAGTGCTTAATTAGTTTCGGAACAATGATATACTTGTAACTGTTCTTACGCAACTTTAATACAAGTGGCTATTTCAGAGCTTAATGTATTGATACGTGCGTGAGAACACACGCGTTTACGGGTGAGGTCTGTGAAAGACTTGAGAGGATAGAGAAGTGACTTAACGTAAGATTCACAAGGAAGCTTAACAGAAGACACGTTGAAGCATCAACAGGACGCACACTGGACCAAACTGAAGAACGGTGACATTTTGTCAAACCTCGTGACCCTTTTGAGTGTTACAAGATGAAGTACGAGGATGAAACGACAGCCTACTCATCAAATTATCACCTAATACGCATAATATAAATTGCATTACATGATATTGATGTCACTTTTTCTCTTGGTAAGGGTTAACCGTGGATTTTCATTGAATGATAGAATCAAACGATTTTTGAACAAACAACCCCAAGCCTCATACTATGATCCATAAAAGCAATAAATCTAGCTTTGCCCGTTTTGGGAGTTATGCCACCTGGAAATAGGATAAGTTCTATATGGTACGGTGTTTAGGCGATGGGTGGGGGTGGGGTGTGGGGTGTAGGGGTGGGGGGTGTGGGGGTGGGGTGTAGGGGTGGTGGTGGTGGTGGTGGTGGTGGTGGTGGTGGTGGTGGTGGTGGTGGTGGTGGTGGTACGTCCTCCGCGTCGCTTCCCGCTGTTGCAGTTGCTTTCCTGCGGCTTTTCGGAGGTGGCTGTATGTCGCCTGCTGTGGGTGAAGTACGGCTTGAAAGCGTCGGGAAACCAGAAGGAGGAGGCCTGTGTGGGCTATTTGTGCTGATTTGTTTTAGCGATGAAGAGTTTTGCAGTCTGCCGTTGGCTCAGCTCGAAGTTGCGCCCTCGCTCATCCTTCCATGCTACCCATCGCTCTGGCCGATGTGGTCAACGGCACAGTTTACAATCTAGCTCTTTGCAGTGGCAGGGGCGTAAGTCATAAGTGGGATTGATGGCAGCATCATGGAAAGTAAAAGGCTTGTCGCTTGTCTAAAATGTTGACTAGAAACGTGGGGTTGTTGGGCAATGCCGCGCAACTGGATACACAAGAATGTCAAAAGAAAAGGAACTTGGTTCCTTGAAGCCCCACAACAGCTGCATGCGACGGCAACACTGGAAACACGTTCTTGCTAGCTGGGGGCCCGGAGGCAACAAATCATGAGCCGTGGCGTCGTTCCCCGAAGCTCGACAAAAATCTTCACCTTTGTAGATCGGGCCCTGCCATGAAACATTTCCATGCCAGAACTTAGCAGCAGCAGGTCTGCAGAGTCTTGGGCTGGTGCCGTGTGCTGGTGGATGTATCGTTGGAATCATCCAGGAGCTCACTTTTGTGTTCGGCAATGCCAGGCGCGCCGACTTGGGGAAGCATCTCCAGGTACTCGGTCAGCGACCTCAAAGACGTCGACTAGTTTTGCGCTCAGATGGTGCGGGTATGAAGGATCTGCTGTGTTGCCATCAGTTGCCAAGTGCAAGCCAGGAGTATTAAGGCCCCAGTAGAGCCTTCAGCCATCGTTGCAATCCAACGGCTGTGTTTGCTGCATGATTGTCCTGCATGCCCCGGCTGTTGGGGTTAGGTGCTGCAGATGGTCTGTGGATCTACTACGGCTCCCAGAGTCTTGGCAGTGTAAGTGCCTCTTGTGCTTCGGCATGATGGCCCTGCAAATGCAAGGACTGGTACAGCGGAAGGATTTGCGCAGGAGCTTGAGCAGGAGCTGCAAACAATCTGGGATATACGAGCTTTTCTGACATGTCCATCAGTAGCGCACTTAAGCCCGAACATGCAGGAGGCCCCAAACCACGATATCACTGCTACCGTCGTAGACCTCGAGGACTTGCTTTTGACCGCCAGGGGAAACTATTCCCCGAGCACGCGTAGGTGGTGAGCATCAGTATCTTTGCAGGACTTTGATCCCGAAACCTTCAAGCAACACAAGGTGGGCCCCAATGCCATTTCCACACGCGGATGGTCTCTTCGTTGAGAGGCTGTCATCATGGTCCTCGCAACTTATGGCGAGGGGGATCCGACAGACAATGCTACAGAATTCTTCAAGTGGTGCCTTGCTCTGTGAGCTTCAAATCTTTGAGAGGAGAATGCGAGTTACTGCTGCTTTTTGGAGACGGGACTGAGGCTGGAAGACGAAAGCTTGGAGCCTGATTATCTTCAGGCCGGTGCGTAATTACTTGTAATTGGCAGGAAGTAGAGTCAAAGCAGTTGGAACAATTTTGCGAGAGGATTCGCGTAGACCCTTTGCGGAAAATTGGTTGAGAAACATGAGAAACATCGAATCATGTGCGCTGCCATTCAGGGCCTGAAGTTCACCATCATGGGCTGTGGCAACAGGCAGTACGTCCACTTTAACCAGAGTGCAAAGCTAGCCCGGGCCTTTGACATTTTTCAGTTCGGAAGCTTATTGTTGGAAACTTCTGTTTGATCGGGCTGAGGCTGATCAGAAGCTTGAGGGTCTGGGTGCCCAGCGGGTTTATGAGCGTGGAGAGGGTGACGACGACCAAAACATCGAAGAGGATTTTGAACAGCGCGGGCCTGTGAAGGTTCAATGGATCTGTGTGCATTTTCAATGGAAAAGACTCTGTCCGAAGTCTCATTGTTCAGGTGGCGGGAAAATGGCTTGTGGCCAGCGCTTCGAACAGCTCTGGGCCTGTCAGGCGCAGATCATGTCAAGGACCCCCAGATTGGAGAAGTCTGACAGAACGATTGTCGGGCTTTCCAGAAAGAGCCGGATTTGCCGCAAGGATGGTGGTTTGGAGAGTGCAGAAGCTGCCGAGATCTGAAAAAAGCTTGCGTTTGGGAATAGCAGACAACTTTCTGCCTTACAACACGCTCAGGTCCTACAGCGTCTTCCGTTAAAGCTCAAGCTGGCGAGCAAAACTACGGACTTGCCTGTCGACCCCTTGGTTCAGGCTCGTATCTCAGGAGACTTTGCCTCGTCAGCTGCCAGCGTGTCCAAACCTCTGAAGACAAGGTGGGTGGCGCCGACATCCTCGGCAAGCTGTGATCTGAGACGTTCAAGGGTTCATACGTCATGTGGAAGCCTCTTGGAGCTAGGTGGTACTTCCAAGCCTCCCTGGCAACTGTCACTGTTTGTGACGAGCTGCGGCAAAAGCCCGATGCGGATGCAGGTCTGGAGCTCAACAGCTCGTCATTCTCTGACTGAGGTTTCCTCCAGTGCATAGACCGGCACGTTCCAGGCATGTTAGCGGCCGTTGGCGATAAGTCAGACTTGCGGCTCCCAACCCAACTCATTGCCAAGCAACCCTGTAAAGTGCAGTTAGACTAGATCCTTCGTAGAAAGCCTCCTGATGCTGCTGTTTAGTCGCAAAGAGTTCTTGCATGCATTTGCATGCTTTTGCGTCGGTCATGCTTATCAAGGCTGTCTGCTGAGGTAGCTGTCAGACAAGCCTTCTTTGGTTGGCTCACATTGGATGTCAAGTCCATGATGCTTACTACTGGTAGCACCAAGTGCCTGAGGTAAGACCACGAAGCACATTGAGTTCAATGTGCAACAGCTGCCAGCCGTAGACTGGCGAACTGCGGACAATCTGGAGGCTGAGTGTAAAGTTGACCTGTATCTTTGTTCTTTGATGTCTCCTGATGAAGTATGGACCGCAGCAGGTGGTGCTCAAGGGA